CTTGCCAGTTTCTCGTCATCCTCCCTTCTTCTCCTCTTCCCCCCTCCTCGTGAGCCGCAGAGCCTGCAGTGTTTCCCCGCCTGTGCCCGACGTGGCCGCCCCCTTGGGGGCATGCATAGGGGAACGAACAATGGCATACATATAAAAACTCGGAGGTCCGCGCGGATTTCTCGGATCCGCGCTGGACCTCCCGGCGCCGATCCGAGAAGTCCGCGCGGACCTCCGAGTTATTACCTTTATGCCATCCTTCGCTCCCCTACTGCAGGCCTGACCTGACCCGACCTTCTTTCACCTCTCGCTCTCAGCGAGCGTCGCCTCGACGCCTCCCTTTGCTGCGCCGCCTGCTCCCCCCCTGCAGCGCCGCCCCCGCCCAGGAGAGTGCGGGCGGCCCTGGCGCGCCGGGCCCCGGCGACGACTTCGTCTACTACGCCAGCCGCAGGAGCGCGAGCCTGGCCCCGCTCGAAGAGGCGTAGGCCAGCAGAAGGCAAGCAGTGGCGAAGCGTCCTGGCTCGCCTACAGAGCCACCAGAGACTGTTCTGACAACCTTTTGGTGGTCTGCACGAATGTTCTTAGAGAACATTTCTGGCTGCGACTGTCTTGGTTTATCACATCGGGCTCATGTTCTAAGAACCTTGTTGTTGTTCTTAGAACATGTCTGGGTTCTACGAACATCTCGTGGTAGGCCTACAGGAATGCCTGGACGGTCGGTCCCTGCTCAACAGAAGGGTTCGTTGGACAAGGTTGGTTTCGCTGGTTTCGAGGTCCCCCCAGCCCGACCGTGGGCACTCCAGCACGGTCTGAGGCGCCCCGACAGCCGTCGAAGTCACCCCTCCTGAGCCAGACCTCCTCGCCGTCCTCGAGAGAAGAGCGACAACTGCAGACTCCTCCTCCTCCTCCTCCTCCTCCTCCTCCTCCTCCTCCTCCTCCTCATGCCTCGAATCTAAGAGCTGCACGACACGTACTCTCGGAGCGCCGCGCGGACCTCTTGGATCGGCGCCGGGGCCCCCCTGGCGGCGCCTTCGGCGCCGCCCCTCTCGCACTCCACGCGCCAGGGAGGGGGGGGTCCCGCGCGGATCCAGGAAATCCGCGCGGACCATCGAAAGTGTATGCTCAATTATGCCGTGCTTAGTTTTGCGTTGTTCCCATCCTGCTTCAGGACCGCATCCCAGAAATGGTGTCGAGCACCCGGAAAAGTGTCAAAAGGGTGTCGAAAGAGTGTCGAAACAGTGTCGGGCAAGTGTCTCCCAGGGCCCGACACGTGAAAACCCATGAGGTTCGGTATTTTTTTCCTGGCGCTCGAAATTCTTTCTGGTGATCAAGGCTAGAGTAGGTTGGAACATCATAAGCTTAGTTCCTCTAATCTCCGTGGCCTGCGATTGACGTTCCCTCCCCCCTGTTTTGGCGAATTTCTATCGCGCCTCGCCCCTGGAAGTGATATCCCGCCCCTGGACCCCTCGGTGCGGGTTCCCACTTAAATCCGAATACGATTCCAACAGGACCCTCGACTTCCATCTTTCTCTTCCCGCTCCCCCCTGGTCAGGGTTAGACTTGCAGAGGTTTGCGCGGGTTCTTTGGATCGGATTGGGGCGACTAGCCCGGGTTGGAGCCCACATGAGCGGCGAAGAGCCCAAGGGGCGCCGCTGGTCCAAGTCTTCGGTGAGGCTCCCGGGCGAACACGTGCAGTGCCCGCCTCTGGGCGACTCGCCCCGTCGTCGCCGCCTGGGAGTCACCCGTAGCCGGGAGACAAAGAATTGCGTGAACATGCATTCTATGAGGTTCGCTCTGCACGAACGAAATGGGCACGGAAATAATGGGTACAGTGCCCAACAGCAGTTCGTGCTCATTTTGAACAGGACTCGCTGTCCGCGCCGCCGCGGCCTGTGTCCCTTCGAGACAGAAGGCCGTCTGCCCAACAGCGGCCGCTGTTGGTTTGGGACAACATTTGTTGTTGGGCATTGTACCCATTCTTTCCGTACCCATTTCGGGCGTCCAACTTCGCGCGGATTTCGTGGATCGGCATTGGGACCCCCCTGGCGGCGCCTCAGGCGCGGCGCCGCCAGGGGCGCGCTCCGCCCGCCAGGGAGGAGTCGGGTGGGCTGAGTGTAAGTCGCTCCAGAGCGTGCTGGTAAAATCATCTCCGTGGGCGGCCAAGGGGAGGGTGCTGACCAGGTGGCTTGGCATCGCTCGGACGTGTGCATGTTTCCTTCGGCGAGGGCCATCGAGGAGCCTCCTTGATCATTTGGCGAAAAAACCACGCACGAAACCAAAAAAACACGGAGTGGACGTCCGAGTGATGACCAGGTGGGGGGTAGATACCATGGCCAGGGCCGTGATGTCTCCTCGGATTTCATGGCCCTCTTCGTATGTCAATGCGCCCCTTGACCTCCCGCGAGGCCGTGCTCATGCCTCGGGACACGATTTGCGAGCCCCCCCCTCTTGGACGCCCCCGAAACAATCTCAGAGCCTTCCTCAGCGCTCTGGAGCCGCCCGCAACGCCCAACGCATGCCACAGGGCCACCGGATCTCCGAGATCCCCGATTTGTCCTGGTCCGGCTTTGTCCCAGTCCGGCCTTGGTTTGAAGAGGGGTCCAGTTTCGGGGGTCCCCACACGAGGTAGTGACCACACCGTGTGGTGAGTCGGTGGGAATTCGGGGTCACCGCACGGTTTTGGGACTCGGGTCGTTCTCCGAGGATGTCTCGGGCGACTGGAGCCTCCAGGGTCCCCAGACCGTGCGCTGACGGACCGTGCGGTGAGGCCTTGGGGGATTTCGAGGTCACCACACGGTCTGTCACTGCACCGTTTCGGGACTCCGAATCCTCTCTTTTGCCCTTCTTTGGGTCGCGCTCCCGTCGCAGCGGTCTCGGCGGCGCCGCGGGGGCGTCCCAGTAGTCGAGGGACGATTTTCCGATTCTTTTTGGCCCACTTTTGCATTTTTTTCGGCAATGTTTTATTGATCTTCCAAAATCTGCCTGAACGGGGGCCATGCCCGACCTAAACCGGGGGGGGCCGTCCTGGCATCCACCCGTGCGCGAGGCGAAGCAGGAGGGGGGCGGCAGCAGCCGCTCACGCGGCGCCTCGGCCCCCCGCGCGGGGGCCCGGCGTCCGGCGGCGCCGTTCTTGGCCCTGCCGAGATCGCCGCCCTCGCAGAGTGCGGCTCCTGCAGCGAGGGGGTTACAGTCGGGGCGCTGAAGAAGGAGCCCTTCTCGTTGGGGAGGGGCTCGGCGTTCCTTAAATTGTTCCACACCTTGCCCACTGTTTTGGTGAAGTTTTTGGTGGGAAGTCGAAGGTTAACTTATGACAAAAAGGGGCTTCGTTCCTTATTTAGGGTTCCTTAGGTCAACGCCCCGACTGTATCCCAAGGCGGGGTTTGGGAGCATACGGCAGGCTCGTGTCGTGTCGACCGGCGGCGACCCCGCCAGCGGCGGTCAACGCTGGACGCCGCGGGCGGCCCAGAATCGTTCGCTTGGCATCGCTCGGACGTGTGCATTTTTCCTTCGGCGAGGACCATCGAGGAGCATCCTTGATGATTTGGCGAAAAGCCACGCACGAAACCGAAAAAAACACAGGGAATGGACGTCCGAGCGATGGCGAGTTCGATGTGGAACGATTTGGACGTCTCGGAAACGGCCGATCGTTCAAGGTTGAACGATCCCCGCGGTGTCGGAAACCAACGCCGGAGTCGGCACGACACGAGCCTGACGTACCCAGCTGGATGCACAGATTCCCGCCTTGCACGGTCTCGTGTTATGCTTATTTTCCTTTGGCCCCGTTTATGCCCCTGGCCCACCTTGTTACGTCCCCCCGATCTTGGGTGCGCGGCAGGGGGCTGTGAGTTTCAGGGTGCACTCTTCAACTGGCAGGCCTGGTCTGATGTTGCCGGTTTTGCGCTCTCCCCAGGGTACACTTCGATCTGGTCGATCCGTTTCGAGATCGGCTCTGGCTGATCTCACCCGTTTCGATTCCGATATTCCGACGGTTCGATGCGGGCCGACGATTCCATCACGCAGTTGTGCATCCTGGCGCGGCCGATCCAATTGGATGACGACTTCGTGCCGATGCAGCCCGCTGCGATGCACACTCTGGTTGGATCCGATTTTCAGGCTCGATGCTGACTGACCTTTCCCCCCATGCCCGGGTCTTGGAGTGGGACGCCCGAAGGACCTGGACGGAGGAGGCGGACATCGACACGGCGCGGAACCGCGCTCGGTGAGCGAGGGAAGGAAACGCGGTCAATTGCGGTGACATCGCGCATCGCGCGTGAGCGCGCGTAGGCCGCGGCGTACGCCTCCATTGGCTTCAAATTCAGCAACGGCGCTGGTATATCCGTGGCCGGGAATCGGCTTCTCAAACCTGGCGAGTCTGTTCAATCCAGTGCAATCCGGCTGAATCCCGGACCTAACCTGACGAAAGGGGGGGATTGGGAAAGGGGGGGTTACGAAATCTGTTGCATGCAGCTGGTTTCCGCCCCGCCGCTGGGCCCATTCCTCGATACATGGGCGGCTCCCGGCACCGGGAGGCGCCGGGAAAATCAGCTACGTGAGCTGATTCTCACCCCCCCCCTTTGCTATCCCCCCCTTTCGCCCGGCCCGATCCATTTGAGCATCTACCCCATAAAACAGGGTGTTGTTTTCAGTATCGTGTAACCGACCCCCATCCCCATCCCCATCCCCCTCCCGACCCCCACCATCCCACCACTCTGGTTGGGGATCTACCCCTCGAGACTCGGAGGAAGCAGCCTACATCCCCATTTAGGGGGTAAATCGGCCAGTGGGGCCCAGGCCACGCCCATGGGGATAGGGGTCGGTTAAACGATGCCCATGTTTTTCATCGTTTACATATTTATCAGCCTGGAACATATCCCTATCCCTACGCTGGGCACCTCCTCATCACGATGCCAATCTTAGGGGTTCCCTTATTTTTGAAGGCGAATCCCTAAGATTGTCATCGCCTTTTGGCGTGTCAATCTTAGGGATAGGGATATGTTCGAGGCTGGTAACATATGACCAGTCGAATCGTCACGGGCGCTGTCGCGCGTAATCCAGAACGGGCCGCTTCGTGTCGTCGCTGCAGGTGGCGGTGGCGCGACCTGGGGCGCTGGGACGAGCAGGAGCGGCAGCAGGACCTCAAGGAGCGGGAGAAGAGCCTCGCTGCCGAGACGCGCCGGCGGGTGTTCGGCGAGAAGGAGGACCTCAGGGGCAACGTCAGGTCAGGGGCACCTACGGTAGAGGGAAACAATTAGTGAACACCCCCCCTGCCCCCCAAACTCAAGGTTGGCACGCGCGGGGGGAGACTGCGGTCGAGGTGCAACTCATCAGACCCACCGCCAATTTTGAACATTGGGGGGGTGAGGCGTTCACAGATGGATGTGGCATGAGTGTTCGCTATTTTTTCCGAGGCCTGTATGCAGGGAGAGGTAAGACAGAGTACCAATGGCACTGTGCTTCAAGCCGCGCTGGTTTGTACGTATGCTCTCGCTCATGGGACCACGCAAGGCATTGTCGCTCTTCGGCAGTAGCACGCTGCTGCGATCGTTCGACCAGCGTGACACTGGCACTGTGTTTTTGCCCGGGCTCCGGAGGTTCCGTCGGTTCTCGGCGGGTTGCCAGCCTCGGGGTGCCCTCCAGCAGCTGCGCCTCGCCGAGAGCGTCCCGGGGGTGCCTGGATTGCCCCGAGCGGCCTCCCGAGAGCCCCATTGTGGCCCGAAAACAAAAGGGGACAACCTTCAGGGGAGGGGTCGGCTCGGGGGGGGGGGGGCGATGCCTCGACCTCGGATCGCCCATTCAACGCCGATGGGACCCCATAGCCCACCCCGCCCAGCCGCGTGCGCAGTCGCTGCGTCTCGCGGATGCCAGCTCGAGGTTCGGATCCCCCCGAGCGCGTCCCACTCCTGCGGTCGGCCCGCAGAGGACCAGGGCGAGGGGGCCGAGGACGAGCTGGTGGAGCTCGACGACGAGGCCGAGGAGGTGGAGCCCCTGCCGCGCAGGAACGCGCCCATAGTGTCCATGATCCTGAAGACGCGGAGCGTGACCCAGTTCGACGTGCTCATGGACGAGGTCGAGAGGGTGCAGGAGCTCACGAGCGGCGAACATGATCTGTATCCGCGCCCTCGCGGTCTGGCATTCCGGGGCCGCGATCACGCAGAGGCGCGGTCGCACGGGCACGTTCCGCGCGGGGCATCCGCGAACAAAGAAAAACCCATATCGGTGCGGTCTCGGCCCGGGTGCCCTGGTTGCGAGGCCGCGGATACGGAGACGTGTGTTTTCGTCCGCGAGGAGCAGTACGGGATCCGGATCGTGATTGTGCACGGTGGGTTGGGCCCTGTGATCATCAAGGACGTCACGCACGCCGAGGTGGAGAAGGGGTACGGATTCTGCCCCATATATGCCTTCCAGGTGGGCGTGCATCCAGACGCTGCCGCCCAGGCAGACTCTCAACAGATTGACGTGCGCCGTTTCAGTGTGTTCACAGACCTCATCGCCGACGTTGCCAACCGATGCGAGCGCATCGACCGCAAGGAAGCGCTGCAGAACTACTCCGACGCGTTGAAGGACAAGCCCACGCTGTCCGGAATCTGAAGCTTCACGAGCTGGTCTGCGGGCACGTGTTGCTCCGCCGTTGGTGTTTCAAGTTCGGCACCGAGCTGTGGGACCTGTTGACCTGCACCCGCATGTTGCCCCCGATGGCGAGCGTTGCCCGTAGCGGCATCAACGGTGCGCTCTGCTCACTCGGATGGCCTCGGTCACCCATCGCGACGCAGGACGTGGCGCAGCCGGCTGTTCCCGCTCGTGCCGACGAGCCTGGCGCAGCACGGAGGGGCACGGCGCGGGCCAGTGAGCGCCCGCCTGAGCACCCGCGCCGCGGTCGGCGTGGAGGCGTCCCAGCGGCGATGGCTTCCTCGCGCACGTGGAGCTCACAACACGCGGAGTGGCGACGCGACGTGTGGGGGATGCGGCGTGTGGGGGATGTGCTCCCGCCGCGGGCCGCCCCCTGCCCGCCTCCCTGCGCTGCAGCGAGGCCCCAGGCCCGAGCTTCAAGGGCCCGACCGAGGCGGCGGACGCGACGGCGTGGTTGAGGACGGCAGTTGGCCGTGCGCTTCCCCGGTGCCTGCTTTCAAGCGACGCTCATGTTGATGCTGACAGGGACAGGGTCACCCATCCAGAGTCGCGATGGCTACGTGGTGCCAGTCGGGGGCTGGGCGATCTAAGTTGGTGCTCTTGACTGGCGATCCGGTGTCGACAGCCATCATCAGCGTTATCATCACCATCTCGTCATGGGGGGATGCGTCGACCCCCAATCGCGCGCTCATCGCCGATGGGGGCCCGATTGCCCATCCCGCTCAAAAACGTGAGGTTTCGCTATCTAGGGCAGATCGCCGATTCCAGGTCGATGTTTCCCCCCCCTGAGACGGTCCCCCTCTAACGTTGCCCCTCACGGTGGGTCGGGGTCGGAGTGTAGGCACGCACCGTGATTGTGGGTTGTCTCCCCCTGCACAAATCACC